AATTAAATGCCTGGCTGTGGAAGAAGAGGAGGAGGGACTGGGCACGTGAGGAGGGGTGGGTAGAGGGCAATGTTTGGATCTGCAGAACCTCACCTATAGTTGTTCTAGATGGCTTCAAGTGAATTGAGTTTGGGTTGTTTCGGTTTTTTGTTTGTTTGTTTGTTTGTTTTTCTCCATGAAAGGGATAAAACGCATTGACTTAATTAAAACTGAAAAGTTAACTTGACATCTTGTTGTCAAGGAAACCAACACTTTCACATACAACCTCAGATACTGAGGTGCCGTTTGGATTATTCAAGTGACGTTAGAAAAAGTAAGAAGCGGGACGGGCTCTGGGCTGTTCTGAGAATCCACGTAGAAGCCACTTGAGGGAAATGGTTCCCAGAAGCCAGGGTCTGGGAGAACTTTTCTCTTTCCCAGGAAGACACGGCCAAATTCACAGTTAATACTGCTCTTCAGGGAAAACAGCGATATAAGTTGGGCATGATTGTTCAGCCATTTTTCAGTCACGTCTGACTCTTTGTGATCCCATTTGGGGTTTTCTTGGCAAAGATATTGAAGAGGTTTGCCATGTCCTCCAGCTCATTTTACAGAAGAGGAAACTGAGGCAAATCATGTTTAATTAATTTGCATGGGGTCACTCTGCGAGTAAGTATCTGAGGCCAGATTTGAACTCAGGAAAATAAGGCTTCCTGACTCCAGGACTGGCACTTTATCCGCTGAGTCACTTAACTGCCTCCAGCTGGGCATGGAGGGGGCCTCCAAAATAAAGCCTTTTTCTTGAATGACCCCTCTCAGGTCAGAGATTGAAAACATTGTTTATTCTGGGGAAACAGGAACCCAATGATAAAGAAAAGGACTTCTTAATTTCGTTTGTCTCTTTCTTAGAACAGACTCTGTTTCAAATTGGGGTTCGTGGGGTTCGACAGCATGAACAAGGAATAATAAGTGGTCTATGTTGGCTGGAGGATAGGGTTTGAATGGGGAATAGTGTCAAGGCTAGAAATGTTCAAGTCAGTTTGTGATGGGCCTTGAACACCAGACTAAGAAGTTTGGACTTTATCCTATAGGCTTAAGAGGCCATCATTTTTTTTATTTTTATTTTTTCATCAAGAGAAAGGAAAGAAAGGGAAAAAAAACAAATAAAATTAAAACTGTCTATTCACAACTGCCAATTAGGCCATTTGGGGTTCAATTGTATGTGCATTCTAACTTATCTTCATAACCAAATTTTTTTTTTATATTCAGTCTTATTCCACCACGAACAAGACAAATAGTTTTGTGCCAACCCCTTTTTGAAACAATGATTTTCAACATACAGATGGCCTGCTGGATCTTTGCAACATTGATACATGCCAAAACCACTGTGTGTGACATTATGAGGCAGAAAGTTTTTGCTTACCTTCTCCCTCGTGGGTGGTCTTCATGGCATGAAGATGATTTAAATTTAGATTAAGAGTTAAAATCTGGTCTCGGACACTTGACACTTACTAGCTGTGTGACCGTGGGCAAGTCACTTAACCCCGATTACCTCACCAAAAAGCAAAAAAAAAAAATATAGATTAAATAAGAAGTTATTGAGCACCTCGCATGTGAATGTCATGTGGGAAAGAGGAAGCATATTGGAATAAGTAGAGTGCTGAAGTCATGAAGACCTGAGTTCATAGGGGCAGCTAGGTGGCACAGTGGATAGAGCACTGGTCCTGGAGTCAGGAAGACTTGAGTTCAAATCTGGTCTCAGATAAGACACTTGACACTAGCTGTGTGACTCTGGGCAAGTCACTTAACCCCAATTGCCTAAAAAGAAGAAGAAGAAGAAGAAGAAGACCTGAGTTCAAATTTTACTTCTGACACTTTCCTCTAAGCTCCTTTCCAGCTCTATATTTCCTATGATCCTATATGAAAAATATATAAGGCCATTATCCCTGCCCTCCTAGAGCTTTCAGTCTAGAAAAGAGGTAAAATCATGTACCCCAATGCTTAGGGCAGGATCTGACACATGATAGGTACTTAATAAATGTTTATTGATTGATAAATAACTCTAATACCAAATATGAAAAGTGTCATATAAACAAAGTAAAATATTCAGAGACAGGCAAGGTCACTTTTGGATTGGGGGGGTAATTGGGGAGGGCTCCATGGAAGAGGTGATATTTGAGCTGAGCCTCAAAAGAAAAGAATCTTTGTAAATAAGGACCAGGGGGAGGCAGAGCTTATGCTAGAAAAGGGACATGGCCTGAGAAAAGTCATGGATGTAGAATGGTACAAGGCATTGCAAAAAATTATTTTTCTTAGTAATCATTATCTTGGAGACTCAGAGCTTATCCATCCTCTTTTCTTTCAAAGTTCAGTTCTTCTTCAGAAGGACATTAAGATCTAATCTAAATGAATCTATTCCTGCTCATTCTGTTGCCCAGACAGGTCTGGGAGAATGTTGATTCCTCCATATTGTCAAGACAGGTGATAGGGAAATTGATGTCTCTTTGACTAGGATTAAGTGACCCTTATTTTAATATAATCCACCTCCCAGTGTGTTGACCAATCAAGAGTTGATTGGCATCCCTTGGGAACACCTACTCTTTGAAGGGCATATAATCCTGTACCCCCATCCCCCAAATTGAGCCAGTTCTGAAATGGCCCCCTTAGGGGGACTCAGTTTTGGACTGAACTCCCACGCAATGCACATCAAGCCAGCCTGAGAGAAATCAAAGAGTGGACACACACACCCTAATTTTGTTTGTCTCTTTCTTAGAACAGACTGTTTCAAATTGGGGTTCGTGGGGTTCGACAGCATGAACAAGGAATAATAAGTGGTCTATGTTGGCTGGAGGATAGGGTTTGAATGGGGAGTAGTGTCAAGGCTAGAAATGTTCAAGTCAGTTTGTGATGGGCCTTGAACACCAGACTAAGAAATTTGGACTTTATCCGATAGGTTGTAAGGGGCCTTCATTTTTTTAATGGCCAGGAATGGGTATTGCTGATTGGAATTCCCTTTGTCTTTGAGAGAGGGACTCTGGTGTGGAGGTGGCGGGAGAATAAAGATGCTGATAGGTGGAACAGAAGCAAAGTCCAAAGTCAGATAGGGTTGTATTTATCATTAAATCATAAAGTGCAGCCAAAGACAAAATTCAAATCAACTTGAATCAGAAAACAGAACAAGAGACCCTTTCGGAGCTAGGCTCCAAAGTCAGTGATGTCACCGAGCCTGATTGTAAGGTGAAGCCTAGATTGAGGCAAAGAGACTAGTTAGATGGTTACCACAGTAGTCTAGATGCAACATCATAAAGGTTTGAAGTTGGGTGGTGGCTCTGTAGACGGTAGAGAGTTATGGATGCAAGGCTTATTAAGGATTTGGTGATAATTGAATATAGGGTACAATAGAAAGGGGGAAGTTGGTCACCCAAAAAATCATCACAGAATCCTACTTTAGGTTTGATCGTGGGTGACCAAAAGAATGATGCTATCATTAACAATAACAAGAAAATCAGGAAGATGAACTGGTTTGGGAGAGATGGTAAGTTTGTTTTTAGCCATGTTGAGTTTGAAGTACCAATGGACCATACAGGCAGACATATGCATGCAACAGGAAGTGAGACTACAGTTTCAAACAAGGGCCTGGGCTAGAGATATTGATTTGGGAGTTATCCACCCAGTTGAAGCTATCAAAGTAGAAGTGGGCCAAGGGCTTATCATCTTGGGGAATTCTAACATTTTGAGTGTGGGAGGGGGAATGAAAACGGTAGAAGAAATGTTAGAGAAGAAGAAACAATATGAAATTGGAAAGCGTGCTATCATGGATGCCAATTAGCTGTGAATAACTAGAATAAATAATAACTAGAATAAAATGTGTTTCCAGGCAGAAACCCTGTTGCAGCTACTTTGATAAATGGGTAAGAATAGGATGTTTTAGGAAGAATTAGAATGGTCACTTGTGTCAGCTGGTGCATATGGTCAAGGAGAAAGAGGACTGAGAAGAGGTCTCTTAATTTAGTGACCAGGAGGCTGCATGGGGTCTGACTGGATAGGAAAGAAGATGAGAAAGAAAGAAGAGAAGAAGTGAAAAAGAAAACCAGAAAATGCACTTAGAAACTTAGTCAGAGCAAGAAAAAACTACCAGGATGCTAAATATTTTTTTTCCTGTCAGATTTCCAAACACTTCCACACCTGGAATTCCATAAGGCCTCCTCAGTGTTTTTAAACAAGGAATTATGCATCCTCTCTTTGGGGAAGCCAGGATAGACAGTTTGATTCAATTCAAGAAAATATTTGTTGAATGCCTCAGGCATTTATTCATGTTCCAGATAAATTAATGGGTATATTGACATATTCATTTTCACAGGCTACATCCTCTTATATCTACTGTCCATGAACTTGGAATGCGCTTCTTATCTGCCCCACAATCTAACCTCAACTTCTGTAACTGCCCTCCCATGCACCTTCCTTCAAGTTTTTGGTCTGCTTCCTGTCATAGATTCCCTCCACATCTCCAGACTCTGACCTCCTGGAAGTTAATTCTCTTCTCACCTTGACCCATCTTCCATATTTTAGGATGTGTTTCCTGAAGCCATTCTAATACAATTATTTTTCTTTTTCAGTTGACTCTGCCATTAGTGGTATTTTGATGTACCTGTCCTTGGTTCCCAAGGTTAGCTATGAGTCACTTCGATCCCTTTAGCTTCAATTTTTCCCATTGTAAAAATGGGGTTAATAATAGCACCTGTTCTTTGTTATACCTTTAGATATGAGATAAAATATGGGTCTGACCCTCTCTAGCCTTTCTTAAGATTAAGAGTTGGCCCCCATTTAAAGAGGGGAGGGGGATAATGATGGTGATTTTGATGGTCCATTTCCTCTCTGAGTGACTTTTACAGCTCAAACACTTAGTGAATATTCTGTAGATATTTAAAAATCCAAAGTACTGATTCTTGGAATTCCTTCCTTATTTCTGGGCTATTAACTACACAAGATGAAATAGTAAAAGGATGATGTTTCTGTCTTACCCACACAGTGGTCCATATGTCTTTATCAGCTCCATATGACTTTCCCAAAAACCCTGCAAAAAGCACAAAGCCCCAGAAATATGTCATTATAATTACAATAACAAAAGAGAGTAAAATAGCAATAATTCAAAGTCTATAGTGAGGGAGGGGGGAGATAGAGAGAGGTGAAGAAGGAAGCCAGCCTGAAATAATGAAAAGTTTATTATAGAATATTTTTAAAGAAGTGAAATTCTGTTTTCATGAGTAAAAAGAACTTAATAGTGTTGCCAAGTAGGGCTCCTGTTGCACTGATTTTGATGAATGAGACAAATATTTGAATCAAGCAAGCAACAAGCATTTATTAAGCACCTGCTATATGCTAGCCCCTGCCCTCAAGGAGCTTATATTCTATTACCTATAATGAGTATGTTCTTAAGTACTCTGCTAAAATACTTGCTTAAAAACTGTATAATCATTTATCTAACTTTCCTCAAATCTTATTTATAGTGTTCTTTTGCTTAGTTTCAGGTACTGCACCTTCTCTATGTGAACAGTTGGCTGCTGGAAGGAGATAATTCTCTAATTAGCTGTCCTGATAGTCTGTGTCAGGAAAGAGGAAGAACTCAGCTTGTGAAGAAACATTCCATATAAAGTGTTGTGGAGACACACAGACTGTCCAGAGCACTGGATACAGAACCTCCTCTTTCAGCAAACAAACTATTTAAACAGGGTGTCCCAAAAGACTTTTTGAAGAAGAAAAAAGGGGTGGTACCTTACATTAGCAAAAAAAAAAAAAAATCAAGAAAAAAGGTAGAGTAATTAAAATTAGTTCAGTTTAATAAACATTTATTAAGCACCTACTATTTGCAAATAATTTGCTAACTCTGGGAATAAAATGAAACGGTTCCTGCCCTCAAAGGCCTCACATTCTACTTTGGGGCGGGAGTGGGGGGGTGGGGAGAGTAGCAGTTGGAAGAATGGCAGGAGAAAGATAAAACAAATAAATAAATAAGTATTTGTTGTTTAGTCAATTGGTTGTGTTAGACTCTTCATGATCCCATTTGGGGTTTTGTTTGGCACTTTAAGGTTTAGGAAAATCCTTATAAGTGGAAGCAGTTGGGTCTTGGTATTGGAAGACATGCCATTGCCTTCTGCAACTCATTTTACAGATGGGGAAACTGAGGCAAAGAGGGTTTAAGTGACTTGCCATGAGTCACATAGCTAGTGTCTGAGGCCAAATTTGAACTCAGGTCTTCTTGACTTCAGGGCCAGCACTCTATCCACTCTGCCACCTAGCTGCCCCATAAATAAGTATAACACAAGTTAATTTGAGGAGGACTTGAAGTCCAATACTGTGGATCAGAACTTCTTTTTTCATATGACAGCATTTGCCAAGGGTTTAGGAGAACCCTTGTGAGATAAGTGGGAGCAGCCCTGGACTCAGTCAGGTCTTGGTGCTGGAAGACATGAATTTGGGTCTCAGCTCTGATGCCTGCTAGAGACCTTAGACTGTCAGCTCCTCAGTTTCCTCATTTCTGAAATGGAGATAATAGCTAGTCTTTTACAAAACACCTTAAGGTTGACAAAGATTTAATATTTATTATCTCATTGATAATAATTTATTTGTCTGTTTTTCTATCCTTAGCACTTAGCACAGTGCCTGGCATATCCTAGGTGCTTAATAATTGTTTATTGATTAATTAGAATGACAATAGGATTGTAGTTTCAGCTTCCTTTCTGCCTCCTTCTTCACTTTTCTCTTTCCCCTTCTTTCCTGTCTTAGCAGATCACAAAGGACCATTTAACCACCAAATCCAAAGCCCTCTTTCCTATGACCTATAACTGTGTAGATATTGTTATTCCAATCCAACTATTATTAAGCGAGAAAATGTAAATAAAATGCCCTATCAACCTGAAGGCTTGTTTTTATTTATTTATTTTAACCCTCAATTCAAAAACGAGAAGAATGAGGCTCTAACAAGTTACCTGCTGAAGATCACTAGTAAGTGACAAACCTCATGCTTCTGATTCTAAATCTAGTGCTCTTTCCAAGGCCTGACTCTAGGCCAATGTTCTCTCAACAATAATATGCTGCCTCTCACAGAAGGTATGCCATGTATCAGAGAAAACCTACATGCAAATAAAAATAGGTACCTAGAATGCTACACCCTGAAAGAATTTGGAAAGATCTGCATACATAAGGGAGGGGAAGGAGGAGGAGAAGAAGGGATGGACAATGTGGCCAAGAGGAGGAGCCAGAGTTTACTTAATGTTATCAACAAAGTGCTGCAATAACTTTTCCCCCAAAACATTTCTCTCTAATTTGAGTATAGGGAATAGAACTGCCAGATGTTTGCATTATTCATCTCTTCATTCATTGGTATGCAAGAGCCATTTTGTTTTCTCTGATTTGTTTTTATTTTTTGGCAATTGTTTCTTCACCCTTGCTTCGAGGAGCATATGTGAAAGCTCTAGAGAGTTCCATTAGAGCCTCTGATACAAGGGTGGCATGTATAAATTCCACACGGAGTCATATCCATCATGTTGCTCTCCCCCCTGCCAAGTACTGATCCAGCAGAAGTGTGGAAGGCAATCTCCCTTACCTGTTGGAAGAAGGTCATGTTGCCAATAAAAGGGAGGGGCTTGGGATGTCTAATGCCCACCTTTTCAAGGCTGGAAAATGCAGAAGTGGAATACCTGAGCAATGACAATCAAACAAACAACAAAGGCAAGAAATCAATATTTGCATCTAGACAACTGTATCTCAGGGTAAAGGGGAAGAGTGCTGATTTTGCAGAGAGCAAAATTTCTGAAGTCTTGGGAGCTAAAGACAAAGGGGCTGTTGTATTATGATGCTGCCTAATTATTAAGGGAATAAGGAAAATATTCACAGGATCATAAGTGTTTGTTGAATTGAATTTAGAGCTGTAAGGGATTTAATTTTTTTAATTGCCTTTTTTATTGTGAACTTGGTAAATGCAAATAAACATGAGCATTTCAATAAACAAAGAAAAATTTTAAAAGAGGTTTATATATGAAACAGTGAACTCCTTTTTTGTACAGTTGGGTTTTTTGCCAATTATGTACATTTTTTATATAATTCAAATTTATCATAGTGGTTTCAACACTCTTCTGCTTATCTGTATCTCCATCTGAACTTCCTTCTGCTCTCTTCTGTTTATTTTTTAAGGATTCATTGATGTGCTTTTCTTCTCTCTCTCTCTCTCTCTCTCTCTCTCTCTCTCTCTCTCTCTCTCT